TTATTTCATTCTTTTATTCAATTTCAATCATTTTTATTTTTTCATTATTGTTGCTTTTGATCGAATTTCACCTTTTAGTTTCTATGTTCTATTGTTTTGAGTGTTGATTTTTTTTTTTTTTCAATTTCAGGTTTATCAGTTTTCATCTAATTTTGAATGAATTTTGGATCCGAAAGCTATGCTTATGCGACCTTCTTCGTCATTAGTTATTCAATCATGTTTATTTCTTATAATTAATGTTACTAATTTAATGTCTGATATTCATTTCATAATTTTTGAGCTATAATTGATCATGTTCTAAATAATTGTTCCCTTGTTCTAAACTATTATGCTAATGTTCTAAATTTTAATTAAATTAAATTAGTGGATTAATAACAAATTAATTTCTGGTCGATATGAAAGATACGTTACCATATTCTTAATCCAGAATGTTATCATGCTATTCTTAACCCGGAAATTCAGGCAGGCTTGTCCTGATTCTGTTGATCATCAAAATCGATGTCAATAATTTTCATGAATTAGGATGCAAGAATAGCACCTATGAAAGCTCTTCCTCCTTTGGTTTGTGTATGTATATCAGTATATATGACTCCTATTCTAGCTATTTTGTAGAAGATTGCACATCTGCATGTACTTACTTAGTATATGCACTACAAACATGGCTATAGCAGATGTGAGTCTAATTCCATTTGATTAAATTGCTTAGCTTGTTTTATCCATTTCCTTCATTTTCTTATTTTATATTTTGTCTTTGGAACACATTCAGGCTGTATAAAATGTCTTATGGTCTATCTTAGCTTTATGGTCCATCATTGGATCTTTTTTATTTCATCCTATTGTACTCTAGATTACATAAATTTCTTCAAGTAAAGTATTAGCCCCAATAATGTTGGAGAGATATAGATATAGAATATATAGATGAGTCGAGGATATGATTTAAAAATATATCTTTTGAGATGTTTTATACACATTAACCTACTAGCTCAAAGGGTAGAGCATTGTGCAAATGCACAAAAGATGTGGGTTCGAATCCTACGTAGGTTGATTTTTGTGTAATGTGGAGACGAGAGTTTTGTATAAGAGTTTAGTTGTAGCATAGTTCCATAGTAATTAATCATTTAAAGCCAATTATTTGTTTATATAACTTAGATTATTATATAGAATTTAGTCATTCAACTTTAAAAGATAAGAGTTTACATCATATAAAACCACAATTTTTTTTTTGTCTATGTTCTAAATTATTTCTGTCTATGTTCTAAAATTTTCCCATATCTAAATTTTTTCTGTGTATGTTCTAAATGTTTTCCTATGTTCAAAATTTTTTTGCCTATGTTCTAAATTTTTCTCTCATGTTCTAAACTATCTATCCTATGTTCTAGATGTTTTCCTATGTTCTAAATTTTTTTTTGCCTATGTTCTAAAATTTTCTCTCATGTTCTAAACTTTCCTATGTTCTAAACCTTTTCTTATGTTCTAAATTTTTTTCCTATGTTCTAAATTTCTTTTGCCTATGTTCTAAAATTTTCTCTCATGTTCTAAATTATCTTTCCTATGTTCTAAGCCTTTTAATTTCTTATGTTCTGAATTTTTTTCCCATGTTCAAAAACTTTTCCTATATTTATACTTTTTCCTATGTTCTAAATATTTTTCTACCTATGTTCTAATTTTTTTCCCTATATTTTATAAATTTTTTAACCTATGTTCTAATTTTTAATGCGCTCTAAACTTTTACCTTGTGTTCTAAGTTTTTTCTTATGTTCTAATTTTTTTTTCTATATGTTCTAAAATTATTTCCTATGTTCTACAATATGTTCTAAATTAGGCTATAAGGAGAAATAATTAGGTTTATTTTTTAAGTTTTTCTAGTTATTTATAAAGATAACCTATGTAGGATTCGAACCTGCATCTTTTATGCATTTGCATAGTGCTTTACCACTTGAGCTAATAGGTTTTAGCCGTATGTTATTGATCACCACTCTCCCTTAGAAGCAGCGGAAAACAATCACATGTAGAAACTCAAATGCCCCCATTACTATGCCTGGCTACATGCCTCCCTTCACATTTTACAATTTCTCAAACCAAAGGCCCCCCGCCCAATACTCCATTTTAGATGTGCTTAGCGGAATTTCAAGAATCATATTCTTAACATCTAAACAGGATCATATGCATATAATAATAAGTATCAATAATAAGGTTAGGAATTACAACCTTTGATGCGTGAATTCCTCGTTTGCTTTCTACCGCGGAGATCTTGAGCCCCAAGTGTTGCTCCTCTAATCAGTCCACAAGCACGGATTGGATCCCCACATATGCTAGTACGGAAGAGGAATGAATGTAACACTCTTCTTACTTTTGATGGGAGGAGGCAGAAAATAACAGTGTATTTAATTAGGGTTGTCTAACTTACTTTTATAGGTCAACCACATATAAAAGTTAAACCCTACTACTACTTTAAGATCGATAATTATCATACTAGAAAGCTACATTGGCATTGATAATAACTAATAAAAAATGGCCACATTGTATCAAGTTAAATTGCCCCCATCATGTATACAAAACCATCCTAACCCGCCAAGGCATCTACATTTCATTTTGAGACAATTAAGTTTGCAACATCATAAGCATGGTATAAGTCCATCCACCTATTTTAAGCCTTTGAACTCATTAATAATGCCCAGCTGGCCAGCATACTCCCCTCACCCACCACCCCTCCCTCCCTCTCTCTTTCTCCCATTCCCCAAGTTCTCCCTCAAAGATAATACATGTCAATCAATCAATCTAAGGGAAGCACTAATTCATCCATCTAAAGGCCGACCAACCACCCAATAGATCCATGAAAAATGATATCACTAACAATTAAGAATGCAATAAGAGGTATCACTAACTTAGAAGATGCTAAAAAAGAGTTTAAAACATGACGAAAAAGAGTTTACAACATGTCAAGCTAATTTACAACCTACATCCTCTATGCATTTGCATAGTGCTCTATCCACTTGAGCTAATAGGTTTTAGCATACCTAACAATAACCCTATGTTCTAAATTATTTTTCTTATGGTTTGACTTTTTTGCCTATGTTCTAAACTTTTCTGCCTATGTTCTAAACTTTTCTGCATATGTCCTAATTATTTTTCCTATGTTCTAAATTATTTTTCCTATGTTCTAAATTTTTGTACATATGTTCTAAAGATTTTTGCTTATGTTCTAAATTTTTTTTCCTACGTTCTAATTTTTGTAAGTTCTTAATTTATTTTCCTATGTTCTAATGTTTTCTGCCTATGTTCTAAATTATTTTTCCTATGTCCTAAAATATTTTTGCTTATGTTCTAAAGTTTTCTACCTATGTTCTAATTTATTTTTCCTATGTTCTAAAGTTTTCTACCTATGTTCTAAATTATTTTTCCTATGTTCTAAATTTTTTCCTATATTCTAAATTTTTTTCCTATGTTCTAATTTTTACCTATGTTCTAATTTTTTCCTATGTACTAAACATGTGTTATAAATGTATGATTTAAATTTTTATCCTACATGCTCTAAATTTTTTCAGCCTATATATGTTCTAAATTTTTGTCTATGCTCTAAATTATTCTATATTCTAAATTTATTTTTTCTATGTTATAAATTAATATCCTATGTTCTAAACTTATGTTCAAATTTTTTTTTTCGTCCTATGTTCTAAATTTTTTCCTATGATAAAATATGAACAATAGAGCATAATAGAACATACTTTAGAAAGTAATAAACATACTTTTAAACACAATTTTAGATCATAATAATAAGAAGCTAGCATATGATATAAATGTGAACATAATACAAACACTTTATGACATAAGAACCATGATATATATACTTTTAGAACATAACAGACATGTTTTTAGAGCATAACATACATAAAGTGAAACATAACAAGCATACGTTTAGAACATAATAGATATACTTTAGAACACATAATTTTTATTACGAAAATAATAGATTATCAGAGTTAAACATACTTTGCATACTTTTGATTATAATTTTAGAACATAACAAGTATAATAGATATAATTTAGAACATAATACATATACATTTAGAGCATAATACACATTCCTTCAAACATAATTTTACATCACAAAAATCATAAATTATCAGATCTAAACACACTACACATACTTTAGATTATAATTTAGAACATAATAAGCATAGTAAATATGATTCAAAACACAAGTTTAGAATATAAAGACAAAAATTGAAGAAAAATCATACGAATTTGTAACAGTAGGCACATTAGTTCCAAAAACTTCCTTATATTCTTCATTCTATGCTTGCAACAATTCAAATTCAAAATACCAAAAAAAAATAAATATAAAAAACGACCTAAATTAGGCAATGAAAATACCTAAAATTCATTCAAATTGATAGATTATTACTTACCTTTTCATTTCAAAACTTAATTCCATAGGAGTATGTTGTAATTTGTCAATTTTCAATCGTTTGTATTTCCCTTTGAATTATTTTTTGTGAAATCTAGGGTTTTTTCTTGCGAAATATTTACTTGAATTGTTCAATGCAATTTTAGGAACAATATTCTTGAAATTATGTGAAAAATTTGAAGGAAATCGATAATTTTTTTGTTCGATTTGGAGCAATTTTGGGGTTTTGAGGAGAGAGAACATGGGGTCTTAGGAGAGAGAAAGTGACAAAGGTGTGGATTGTGTTTGAGGAGAGAGAAAATTAAGACACTTAAGTTTATGTATGAAGGTGAAAGGGTTTTGATATTTACAATAATGTCATTATTGGCTTTCCATTAATTGTGACTGTTTAATTCAACTAATCCAACGGATTAGATTAGTTTTTATATAACTAGAATTCTTATATAAGGAGGAAATCTTATCAGATCCCTCCCATATATATATATATAGAACTGAGATTCTGTAAGAACGTTGTTGAATAATAGGAACTAGGAACTCATCTCAACCGTTGATCACGCTTAATCTAACGGCCGAGATTCCACCCGTCTCATTAATGGCAAAATAGAAATACGATATTTTGAATGACTACCTGTCCAGCGTTTCTTTTCACTTTCTCTCTCTTCCCTATGCTTTCTCTCTCTTCCCTTGAAGTCTCTCTGCTGCGATTTTACTACTTCGATTTCGCGTCTCAAAACTTCGATTAGCTATTTCTTGTTGTTTTTGGAGAGGTAATTGTTTTGATTTTTTAATTTTTGATTCTATCAATTGTTTGCATTGTTGGTTTTATAGAATTAGGATTTGCCTTTTTTTTCTTTGTTGTTATTTTTATTCAATTACGGCTTGCGTTTTTAATTCAATTACCATTTGTTGTTTTTTCATTTAAGTTTTCTATTCAATTGATGTCTTCCATGTCGATAGATTTGTAAGTTTAGTATAATGAACTTTACTTATGTTCTTGATTTAGGTGTTTGTTTTACAGTTTCTAGGACTAGGGTTTCGATTTTTAATTTTTTTAATTACTTCAAATTAGTGTACTGTCTAGTTAATTATTGTTTGATGGATGTGTTAGGTTTAATTATTCGTTTTGGGTTGTTGGGTTTTTTATTGCTTTATTTGTTGCATGCTAAGTGTTCAATGGAATGCCTGACTTAATGGAATGAGTGTTATGCTAGGTTGCTAACTCGGGTGTGATTAGCATTAGTGATTAGCCGTAGTAACTAGTTTTGCATAGTTGTTTTGGTATTGTTTTTAAGATATTTTGATTTACTTTTTACATTTTTCTATTTACTTTTGAATTGGCCTAACTTTCACAGTGCATGAATTTTGAGCTGCTTGAGCCTAGATTAATACATCTATACTGTTAGGCATCCTAGACAAGGGTGTGTGTAGTTGTGTGGTTGTGTGAGCTTGACATCATGAGGGTGTGTGTAGTTATGTTGTTGTATGGGCTGGGCATCAGCAGCACCAGAATGTGCTCAAAGATTCCTTTGAACACGTTGCTTCAGCTCATGATATTTCACAAACTCCACCTCTTTGTCCTATTTCCCTTGCCTATGTTGCTAATCTTTGCTTGGAAGATGAATGTGCAAGTGACAATATGGGAATTGCCTTCCTGAAAATAAACTTCCTTCAGGTGAACAGGCTGGTGTCAGTATCGATGATGTTTTGCGCTTTTCATGCTTTAGCATTTTTGTTCCGAAAGGTACATACTCTTACTCTCCTTACAAATACTCTTTTTTTTAGTTACTTTGATGCTTCTGGCAACATTTTTTTTTTGTTCTGCTTCTATTTCTGTTGATTGAAGTTCCTGTCTTGAGCCATGGCACTAAAAGCTAGTAAATTTAGTAACTAAATGGATTAATAAGCTAATTGTGTACTAAAGTTGAGACATCAATTAGTGTGATATTTCCGCTATAAGTTCCAAGTCACATTGGCCTCTTTGTGAAGAAGGGTTCATATTCTAGTGTCAACTACCAGACATGTAACTATTGTAGCCCATAAATTTAAATAAGAAATGCATCTGTTCTCCCTGTCAAAACTTACTCAGTTCTAACCATTGCCTTTAACCTAACAGGAGTTGGATTTCTATTTACTGAAATTATAGAATTCAATTTACTGCCGAGGTTGCTGCTGTTCTGCCAAGGCTACTGCTGCAGCTGCTGCCTTGCCAAGGCTGCTACTGCCCTGCCATGTCTTGCTGCTGCTATGCTACTTCTACTCTGCCACTTGCTGCAGCTATGCTACTTCTGCTCTGCCGCTTGCTGTTTTAAATGTTACTCTACGTTTATATTTTTGGATGAATGTGAATAAATTATGTTACCTTGTATAGTCGTATTATATTTTTGGATAAATTTTGTAATATTACAGCCATCTGTTAATATAAATATCCAAGTTAAATATATGTTAGTGTTTGTACATCAATTAAAGTGAAAAAATCCAAGTTTATATATATTTTTTATTTACTTGTGCGATAATTTTATTTACTTTTACATTTTTTTTATTTACTTTTCCTTTACTTCGAATGTTTAATATATATACTAGCCTACTACCTCAATAGGAAGAGCATTGTGTAATTGCACAAAAGATGTGGGTTCAAAACCAACTTAGGTTCATTTGTATAATCTAAAGATTAGACTACGTATTAAAGTTTACTTTATTTGTATGTCTTACGAGATTTTTTTTCTTCTTTTGTTTATTTTTGCTATAGTTTTATTTACTTTAAACTTGAAAACCTCTACATTTAACTCAATAAATTTAAAAATCACTACATAGAACTCAATATATTTGTTTCTTATAACTTGACTCATCTTGTAACGATATGAAAGTCAATGACTCGGAGTTTTTGTAATATAACAAAGTTTTTGTAGTCATTTATCATTTCAAGCTAATTTATTGTTCGTATACTTTAGAGCTAATGTAATTTAATTTTTAGTTATTTTAATTTACTTTTGAGCTATTTTGAATAACTTTAGAGTGTTTTTATATGTACTTTTAGCGAACCTATATGGGAATCGAACCTACACCTCTATGCATATGCATATGCATATGCATAATGCTCTACCACTTGAGCTAATAGGTTACTTTAAAGTCCTTTATATTAACTATTTAATCTTTTTTATTTACTTTTAGAGACAACTGATGTAGAAATCCTTTTTTTTATATTTTTTTGTCGTAAGTTCACATAATACCCACCTTATTAGGCAGGAGTACTTAATGCAGAAACAAGAGAAACCTTGTCAAGCCAAGAGCACATCATCAATAATGTGATTGTTCTGCCCTATATACAAATGATGAATGAATAAAATGATAGAGATTGAAAATAGATATATTCAAAACAAGAACATGATAAACCCCACCTTGATTATCCTTGCACCGGCATTATAAGAAAACAATCTGCAAATGGACAAAAGTAAAATTTGGTTGAAGTGTAAAGTTTCAGAATCAGGAAGAATTATTCAGTGTTTCTAAGAAATGGAGACAAGATAATCATACTTTTGTTGGAGTCATGATACCAAGTATGTATGACTTCATGATCTTGGATGTCAGCAATTATATCCTATAAATAGGAGCTTAGCTGATACAACCTCAAGCTAAATGCTACATGAATTACCACAATGACGCTCCAACCCCTGCTGCTATAGGGAAAATGAAGGTTTTGAAAATCTCATAAGAACACACAAAAATTCTTTAGCACCGATTAACACATACTTGGGATCTTATATTTAGCATTTGACTGAACACTTATATAGAGAAATATATCATCATTATTTACTTTTGAATCCAATTGATTTACTATTAATAAACTTATATTTACTTTAAGAGGATAAGATAGCAATAATATACTCGTAATGCAGCTAGAGTTTAGGCAGTAAATCACTCCATTAACAAATTGATTATGATATGCTCTGCGAGTGCTACCTAGAAACTAACATCAGTTTTCTTCTCCAATAAGAGCAAACACAATTTACATTTTTCTGAGTGCTCATACATTATAAATCATAGTTTTTGTTTTACTTAAAAATATAATTAGTTTACTTTAATTTGCTTATCAATACTCTTTTCACTGATGTTTGATAATGAAACTGCAGAAACCATACTTAGGCTAGTCCCTCGTAAACTAAGTCCAAATGCTCTTAAAATATGATACTCTAGTTGGCAATTGCTAACCTGCCAACAAATATTTTATCTACTTTGGGAGCAATTAGTCTACTTTTAAAGATATCAAGTTTACTTTAAGAGGAATTTAGTTTACATATTCAACGCCATTTTAAATTTAGACTCTAATCAAACAGATTTGCCATGACCAATAAAAACTTAGGGGCCGTTTGGTTCGCTGGAATGGGGAAAGGGAATGGGAATGATTCCCTTTGTTAGTGTTTGTTTTCACTTTTTTGTCATTCCCATTCCCCCATTTTATTTTTGGGTTTACCCAAAAATCTCCTAAACCCATTCCCCACCCCCTACCTTTTGCATTCCCATTCCCCAACCACCATACCCTATCAAATGGATGCATCTCGCCGGATCTTGCTGCACCTCGTCGGAACTCACTTCACCTCGCCAGATGGTCGTCGACCTTCCCCCGACCCTCGCTCCCCTTCGTCGCCCATCCTCCCACCTGTGGTTGTAGTCGGGCCAAGACCTCGAACAAAGAGCTTCTGCTGAATAACGTCGAAATCAACAAGTGTAATTGAAAGGGGAGGGGCGTGGTGCGAACTGGATGTCGGTGCCGTATCAGGCGAGGGATGGGATGGGTTACGGGTTTCAGCCAAAGGGGTTGGAGATGGGTTACGGGTTTCAGGCGGGATGGGGGATGCGAGTTTCAGGCGGATGACAGGTGCTCTCCAAACTGCTCTCTTCTCTCTCCTCTAACAGCAGAACCACCTCCCCGTAAACCTAGGTGCTCGCCGGAGATCCGGTGCCGCAACCATTTCTCCGGCGAGTTTCCTCCTTTTTCCCTCCCTCTAAGCCGCCGAGTCTCCGCCCTCCCCTATCTGCTTCCCTTTCCTCTAATCGGTGAAGATCGTCGGCGAGGCTCCGCCCTCCTCTTCTTCTCTTCTCAGCCGTCACCCTCTTTTATTCTCTTATCCCCTTTTAATCGCATTCTTGAAGGTTTTGTTGTGTCCCTTTCCACGGCTAAGACATTTTAGAGTAGCCCCTTATTACCCACCTCTGAGAGGGAGGTTCACGGTCAAAGGATTTTGCCGGCGAAACAAGAGGTCTAAGGACTAAGCCTAACGCCGCCGTCATAAAGGTCATTGGTAATTTTGACCGTGACGGAAATGGTAAAGTTAGGGTTAGGGTTTCATGGGTCCTTGCGTTGGAGGGCTAGGCCTAACGCCGCCGTCAGGAGTGATTCGTGACGGGAATGGTGAAGTTAGGGTTAGGGTTTTGAGGTTCTTTGCTATTATGGTTTCGGATTTTGGGTCCCAGAGGGGCTCTCTGATTTGGTCGTCTTACTTAAGTATGATTTTTCTTCTTGTTATTCAGAGTTTACTTTATTTCTTAAAATTATGTATGGTTTATTTTAGCTTTTCTTGGTTGTTGTCCTGTTTTTCTGGTTGTTTTGGCTATAGTTTATTGGATGGTTGTGTGAGGAAGGAGTTTGGATACTTTATCAAGGGATTTGGTGTTGTTGTTGTGTTGAGAGAGGTAACTTGGGTTGCCGTTGTTTGGGGGACGAACAAGAAGTTGGCCATGGCTAGGATGCGGTGTGTTTTATGGTGGAATGACTATGGTTGTCATTCTACTTCTTTCATTGGAGTGATCATTGTGATCATTACTCTTGATTTTTTCTATCCGAAGCAGGCGCCCAAACTTTGTTTTGGGGTTTCTCGAGCCTCGACGTTGTCAAAGCTTTCTTGCCAACAAGAACAGCTTATGAATGAAAGGTTACGTGTCCATGTGATCGGTTTGAAGGCCCTACGAGGTGATAAGTTGATCCCACTAGGGAAGGTTAAACTAGCCATGACCAAACAGTTTCGATACTCTCTGCTCTCTTTTTGTTTTGAAGTAGGTATCCGCTCTTTGGCCTATAAGGAGGTCCTGTTTCGCAACTTTTCCAGCCAACTCCAATTATGTATTTTGGTTTTTAGTGTCGAAAGTTGGAAAGGCTTAAATGTTAAAAGCCATGTAGTAGTAAGCTTTAGTTTTTATTTCGTATGTTGTAAACTCTGATTTATCAATATAATTTGCTTTTGTCAAAAAAAAAAAAAAAAAAAAAAAAAAGAAAAAAGAAAATTACATTTAAACTTAAGAAATTTCAAGGTTAAGTATATTCTACTTACACCTGTTTTGAACCTCAACTTTGCATCTCGAACGAAAAAATTCAGTCGTAAAAGAAATTTGACCTAAATTCACCAAATTAAACAAGAAAAGTTCAAATTTCCAGCAAGATCTTGACGAATTTGAAGCAAATTCAGCAAGATCTAGACGATTTGCAGCAAATTATACCCAATTTGGCAGAGAAATCTCATTGTAATGGAGGAGAGAGAAAATGGTTGAGGAGAGAGAAAGTGCGCTTGGTTTTTGGGAAATGAATTGTATATGTATGATTCAATCTGGGACGTTGATAGCTAGTGCCCCTTTTTGTGTTAGATCTGGCGGTCCAGATTAGTTCTAAGTTCCTATTATTCAGCTAGTTTTCACCGTAAAATATATATATATAAGAACCCTTCTCTATATAAGAACCCATTATATGTAAGAACTAATCTGGACCGTGAGATTAGATTTGATCTGACCGCTCAAAATAAATGGTTAGTAATGGCATTTTAGTAATTTTCGTTGTACTTTCACCTTTCTTTCTCCTCATTCACGTTTCTTCTTTCCCTTTTTTTTTCTACTTGGTACATTACAGCTCTCTCTCTCCTCTCATACTTTTGGATTCAAATTCCTTCAAAAAATTAAGGTTTGTTATTCAATTCTTATAATTTTAATCATTCTTTTACTGAATTTATGTATTGATTTCTATTCTTTCTTTCATCATTTTTTTTTTGCGAATTTCTATGAAATTTTTGTTCGAATTTCATCATTTTTCTTGATTATTCGTGCGATTTTTGTTCCTTTTTTTTGCGATTTCTATACGATTTTTTTTTAATTTTTTTTTGTTCGATTATTTTGTTGGAATAAAGAAAGGAAATTCAAAGAATTTTGATCCGGACGCCCGACCGGGCGAGTGCCGCCTGACCGGGCACGAGAAGAGTCCGAATTTTCGCGAGGGCAACCCAATTTTTGACAGGATGCTCGCCCGACCGGGGGCTAGAGGACATCTGGAAAAAGAGGAGTGTCCGCCTGACCGGGCGCGAACTCGTCCATTGGGCTCAACTACTTCCTTGGATTCCTCTTCTTGTTTGATTTCTTGTAACCCCCCATTTAAGAGGTTGATTATGGTGTTTTAAACACTATGTTTATTCTGATTTTATTTTTCTCATTGATGTAAAAGATTCCTCTATGATCTTCCATCTTC